ATAGGCAAGTCCCGACTATTGTTCTGCTCGCGCCTCTTCAGGCCCGAACCCGCCCGCCGCGGCCGCTTCTTCAAGCCTGCCGCGCGGCCCGGGATAACTTGCCCCGATCATTATAAACATTATTTAGTGATTATACAATAAACGATACTATAACGATACATAACGCATTGTTATTCACGATCACGGACGTCCCGGAAAGACGCTCCGTATCAACTGGCGCCCAACTAGTGGTTCACCCACACCCAACTACTCAAAAAGCAAAATAACGACGAAAACTTTACTAGTCGGTACGGCGAACGCGAGTACCCGACGATAAGAAAAATACGCAAGATTCTACATCGAAAGACAATTTAAACTAAAAAACCGGCATAATGAATACCAGAAAAAACAAACGAAATCAAAATCAACTTGGACTAGAAGGGGAAGTACAGTTATTGGAGAAAACTCGGCAATTGGAGAAAAAATTAGAAACATTAGAAATCATTGCACAACAAATGCAGGAAAAATTCGCAAAATTAGAAAAACAATACGAAACACTTCGACAACTCGTTAATGATACGGATTCGAAAACATTAATAAAATCAATGCAGCTGGAAAAAGATATTCAAGCATTGCAAACAAAGTTAACTACAAAAAATGACGGGAACACGACAAACAACATCACTAAAACCATAGTAGACATCACGGCACCTACATTTAGTGGAGAACTAAAAGAAGAGCACCCAAAACAATTCTTAAAAGAAATAAACAACTATTTGGAACACAAACAAGTCACCACAATTAAAGAGAAAATGATAGTCATAGAAAACAGCCTCAAAGGAAAGGCAGCAAAATGGTATGCAATGATCAAAGACGCAGCATTAGACGAGCCAACATTTAACGGGCTATTTCTAAAACATTTTTTCTCTGAAAGTCATCAATGGGACATTTTTTTCAAATGCACCGAAGCAGGAAAAAAACCAATTAAGAAGGATTTACAGGAGCATTTTCACCACTGGATGGCAGAATTGAAACATCTTGACTCACCAAAAATGAGCGAGGAACAAGCGATCAGTCTAATTACAAAACACTTCCCGATATCCATTCAAGCATACATACAAACAACTAATGATAGAAAATTTTTACCTATTTGGAAAAAATTGGGCGAACTAGATAATAGTACAAAACTAGAAGAAGAGATACCAGACCAGAAACCATACAACAGACAGAACATACACTCGGGACGGGAAGAACTCATTAACGTGTCCGAGGTTTGTCCATACTATGTTATGGACAAACACAACAATTTATAAAAACAACAAGGGGAGCCAATGAAAAAGATGACAACGTTGACGAATCAGAACCAAGAATTTGGTATATCACAAACTATATAAGATCAGTCAACAAGAATCATAGTCATCAGTTCAAGAAATGGCACCCATCAACCCAGAACGAGGATACACCACTACGGAATATGTCTTGTAATACAATTCGACGGGCATTATACAAGGCATCAATCTGCAGACGTGTCGTTCACGATTCAACATATTTACCATCGGTTCAGTCACTTCCCCGATGACAAATCTGGGGGGGGGAGCTGTAACGGGATAAACCGTCACTATATTAAAATGGTCCTTTTCAGGACCACCTAACACAACAGTATGGCAACATAATACGACACAAGCAATAGACGCGACATAGTGGAATAAGTAGTTTGTCAACAGGAAAGTTTCACGGAAATGACAAGCGAAAACCACATCAACAAAGCGAACACCAACGGGTCGAGGTGTGGTTATTGCTCGTCAAAGCAACCACCCTCGACCAATCACAGGACAACAAAGAGAAACAAATAGTATATATACCGGGACAATTCACCGGTCAAATCATCTTCAACACCAGTCTTCAACATATCTTCTACAAATCAACAAACACTATAGAAGACCCGAAGACCTGAAGACCCGAAGACCTGAAGACCCGAAGACTATCAACGCAGCAGCAACACCGACCTGAACGACGCCGGCGAAGCTGATCCGACCTAGCCAGTCCACGACAACGCACCCTGAACGCACCGGTCTAGCGTAATCGCTCGATACCGCCGAGACTCTACAGTACCCGGCACACCTGGCCAACAAGCGCCATTACACCGACCGACGACGCCAAGCCTACCGTGTGCATCCAGCGATCGACGGCAACGGATAGCCGCCACACCGGGACCTGACTAATCCATCGACGGCAACGTATAATACAATTATACCCCGGCGACTTACTACTGTCAGTCCACCCGTTCAATCGAGTCCAGTCACGCCGTTGGACGAACACCAAGACACGCCGGGAACCGACTTCGCGACGTAGCTTGGCCAATCGACTATTCATCAAGCCGACAAGTAATACCACGTTCCCCCCTACGGTGAGCTTATTCGAGTTTCACCGCGAGGAAGAACCGAACCCACACGACTTGCTCGAGTCCGTGCACGGACGGTTCCTACTCTTCCCTATTATTGTATTATTTCTACAATACGTATAGGCAAGTCCCGACTATTGTTCTGCTCGCGCCTCTTCAGGCCCGAACCCGCCCGCCGCGGCCGCTTCTTCAAGCCTGCCGCGCGGCCCGGGATAACTTGCCCCGATCATTATAAACATTATTTAGTGATTATACAATAAACGATACTATAACGATACATAACGCATTGTTATTCACGATCACGGACGTCCCGGAAAGACGCTCCGTATCAAATGCATTAGGTTGAATTAATTTTCACCTAAATCAATGCAATTGAAAATGTCATTGTGCGAAAAAAAAAATAATATACATTAAAAGTTGGTAGTGCCCACGAATAATATTTTTAAATTAGGTACAACAAAATAACTAAAATCGTTATTCTAGTTCAAGTATCTAATTTAATGCAAATTTGAACTTAAAATGTCTATAAAAATAAAACTGTTTATTTGAATTTGCTTAAAGTTTAATTACTTAGCGAAATGTTGTATTGAAAGTTATAGAAAAATAATTAAAACAATTTAAAATGCATATAAAATGTCCAAAACGAGTCAAAATATTATGAAAATGTTATCATAATATAGTATAGACTCTAGAGAATGGTTATAATTTTTTTGGGTTACACCAAAAGAATAAAAATAGATTTCATCAAAAACTAGTTTTGGGTAAAAATTCCCGTTTTTTCTTAATTGGTTTTTATTCTTATTATTTTGAAAAACTCTTGGAATTTTCTATTTCGACCTCTCAAAAGTACCAGCTAGATCCAAATCGCTTTAAGAAACCACGTTCAAAGTTGAAAGACAAAGCATTATTTTAACTACTCATCGTGTAAAAAATAAATAAATCAGCTCGCATGGAATCTAAAATCCAATATGTTATATTTTATGTATTTTTATGTACAAATAAACTCCCCCCTAACCAAGACAAATAATTTCGGGCACCTAAGTAAATTTACCAAGTTGTAAAGTTAGTTGTAGCTTATTAGCATTATATATTTACTATGATATTCATAGGCTATCATTAATCATATTATGATACGTGTTTTTAGACACGAAATAAAATAATTATTGTAATTTGTTACCTAATCAAATCTAAACGACTGTACAATTGTAATTGTATTTGATTTTGAATTTATTTCTACAGTCATAAAGAAAATAAATTCAAATAATTATTTAAACATGTATGTGTAACCGAAGTACTATTATATTTAATTGTATATGTATTGTAAAGTTGTAGGTATGCATTGAGCTTAATTGTTTCATTAACTTTGACAAACTATTTAACTTTTTATTATATTTAACAAAACAACCTGTACTCTGCAACCTGTTATAATAATAGTAGGTACCTTTATAATAGTAAAAAAAAATGTAGGCAAGTTGGTAATTGCTATGCTGTACAGTACCCTGCAGTAGGTGTTGAGTGTACCTCGTCATTGAGAAGTAATTCACTGTAATTTAAGTGTTAAATATGAATTCAATGATAATTAATCATTACATACGAAGAACGATTCTGAGAGGAGATTTTCCGTCAGCCATTATGACTAAGTGTATTGTATTATGTATTTACATTGATAGATACTAAAGTAATTTATTTTACTATTATTGATTAATTTAATTAATTTTTCCTAAAAACATAGCTTTTAAAATCGTTATTTTTTAAATATCACATGTCATAACAATTTGAATATCAAATTAAAAAAAACTGTTTGATAAAAGGCATATAAGATTTTTCAGAATTTATGATTTCAGTAAGAACTTAAATACATTTTGTATTCAATTTCAAGTTTTAAAAATTTTATAGATTTTTAACATTGAAATAATTTGCAAATTTTCGTGAATTTGACAAATTTTGTCTAACTTCAATCACTCATAAAAAATGATAGTTTTCAACTTTTTTTTTAATTCCAATATTTACCTTGCATACATCGTTTTTTTTAATTTCTACGTTCTATAAATAACTTAAACTTATTCTACATATATTTTTTAAGTTTTATTAAGTAGGTATGTATTATTAAAACTATATTATAAACATTTGGTGAACATTTTAAGTATACAACAAAATTACAAAATCGATTTTTTTAAAAACTTGTTTAGCATAAAAATTCTAGTTTTCCCTAATTTATTTTTTGTTTTTCTCAAATATTAAAAAAATTTACTGGAAATTTGTTACTTTTGACCTCCCAATGTATTAACTCGATTCGCTTTTCTACCAGAAAATAATGTATTGCAGTTGAAGATTGAAGCATATAACTTATTGTTCCTAAAAGTGAAATGTTATGACAGTGTGGACAGACATACGAAAAAATACAAATAACACAAATCATTGTAAAATAAATACATCGGTCAGGTCATGAAAATATATATTATAATATCTGTGAGATGTACGTTTGCGTATAAAATAATATAATGGTTCGTGGTCGATCTTGAAAATTAATGACGTAGGTAGTGTGACTACGGTGTAATATCAATCATTAAGTTTTGCAGTTCAAAATATAAGCACAAACTTATACCTAATGTGTTTTTTTTTAACATTCTATAGACGATGGGTTTTCGACCATAGCTACGTCATTAATGGCCGTCCACATGGTACTTGTGGCGATAATCGGCACCACTGCGAATTTATGCGTGTTTCTCGCTCTTTCCATGGGCCATAAGGTGTCCAACAACCTTTTGCTGCTGAACTTGTGCGTCGCTGACAGTATGGTGTGCATAATTAGCGGACCGTTAACAGTGCTGTCTTGGGAGTGGCCGATGCTATCGTCGTACACCATCGTCAATGCTATACAGGTAATACTATACACTGCATGCTGAACATTACATTATAGTTAGCGACTTACTACACAACACTGTGCGCAGAAGACTCAATAGCACAGACTCTATATTACGTCATATTATTATACCTAGGTACTCACGTTTTTCGAACGTTTAGAGATCACTTCACATTTATTTTTTAACGGAGGGTGTAATTATTTTCAATTTTTTCAAAACATAACGATTTCTATTAACGGAACCTTGACATTTTATTAAATCACTTTAATAAATTCTAGTGTCAATAATTAAACTATATGTACCCACTTATTTACTATTATGTTATAAATTGTCTGTTTATCAATAATAATTATAGTCCTCCGTCGCATTCTATTTTATTTTGAACAGTAATAACTAATATTATAGTGATGGTAAAATACTTAATCGATTTGTTATTTTTACCTTCGGTATACTAATTAGAGTTTTGATTATTGTCATTGAAACAAAGAACGATCTAACATGTGTTCTACGAGTGTATATCTTTAAATGGTTCCTCGGTGTTCATTAGAGTTTTGAGTTTTTGACCCAATATTCAATATTGCATAATAATGATTTATTATATTTACGGTACCTCCTAAATGTATAGTATTTATTTTAGTTTACGTCGTATACGATAGAGTTAGACTTTGCAATTTGTGTTAGATATTCTGAAACAAACTGTATATACAGGTACCCTACGTCGCATGGAAAAATATTTATTTCTATTAAGTTCTATTTCTATTAGTGTTCTATCCAAAGGGCATTTTTGTTTATAATCTCTTTTTTTCAATTATGGTAGATTCGTCTGACCAATGTTACATTAATTAATAACACTCTGCATGACAAGTATATAAATAATTCACTTTACCGGGCGTTGCAGCTGTGAAATGTTGTTTGAAACCAAATTAAAACGAAATAAGCAGATGAGACTACAAAATAACTATAAACGACATAGAAGTTATACACAATCGATACACTTTATCTGATGTAGGTAAGCGTCACACGACCTGCAGAAATGGAATTTCTTTCCATTTAACTTACAGTTGTGAACCTATTTACCAGAATGAAAATAATAATATGAATCATTTATTAACTATCAAATTGGCAGGTGCCTATAATTACGGTGTACAACGTTTAATTTAAATTGATATTACCACCCGTACACTCATGCTGATTTTAAATTCAAGACTTTTTTCAGGTACATATTATAATATTTTAAACCAACATAATAACAACAAAAATGTTATATTGCTATTTTTTATTCATATTTATAAAGAATTAGAGGCAGCAGTAACTTATTAAGCTGACCGTGTGTTCTTTTTTAATGATAAATATATAATATGTGAAGTGTAATGTATGATACGGAACAAAGGCACAACATAATAATGTTATCCACAAACTTGTTTGAGTTGTTTCATTTTTACACTTCAAAAATATTATTTGAGTGATGTTTATTTTAAAAAGAAAAGTATTGTGTTGTTTTAATATCAGGTATCTATGTTCGATATTGTTTAATGTATAAAAATTCGTATGTATGTATGTATGTATGTATGTATTGTATAGGTATACTTACCTTTTTAATTACCTACTACAAGCTATTTTGACATTATGTATAACAAACTTTTTCAGTTGAAAATAAGTTTTTTAATGTGTCTGCTGCGGTTTTATTTAAAATCATGCAAACTTATTAAAAACAAGATGCAAAAATTCTGTGAAAGATGTAGAAATCTTCTTTTTATTGTAATGTCTCACAAATACATTTATAACACCAGACCGAAACATAAATGTAAATTTAAAAATCAACTGCTTTTGAAACAAAACAAAAGCAACGTTATAAAAGTAAATTGGAGGAACTTAGTTAATTAGGTTAATTAACAACGTTTCGATTGAATTGATATAATATCATTAAAATACTTATGCCGCATTTGATATTGTAATATTCACGCCGTGAACTAATTGCCAAATTCGTTCGTTGGATAGTGGTCCGATGTTTGTACCTACCGTAGCAATCTGAGAATATATGTATATAACCATCCTCTGTGAAACGATATTATATTATAAGACATATTCTGGTTACGTAGTGTTTCATGAATATTCATATTTATATAGTACTTTTTGATATATTACAATCAATTTATTTACGAGTGCACTCGTCGTAACGCGCTAGTCTATATTACGCCTTTCATAGGATTTGGGTATACTGTGCACCAACCATTCACGGCCATGATGGGATGACCCATCTGACATTAACTCCGATGGTATAATGCGTTTACGTAATGAAAACAACGCCGAGTAAAACATACAAATTTCAAATTAAAACAAAATAGAAAATACTTTTTAATAGCCTTGAAAAAAAAAATAAATAGAAAAAGAACCTTAACGTCCGGAACGTTAAAGACACGATTTGAATTTTATATTAAAAACAAATATGTATACAAACTTACAAACGCGTAATAAATTACCATTGTAAAAAAAAACATTTTAAATACCTTTTCTTAATTTGCAAAGAGACCACATTTCAGTTAATTTTTTGTATGCTGAGCGTAGTTAGGGATGTATTTTATTATGGTACTCTATAACAACTATTATGATTAAATAGAAATAAACAATACTTCACAGATATGAAATCTATGCACAAGGAGGTAAATGATTTTTCCATAATATATTTTACCTATATAGGATTTACATTTAACAGATTTATAATACTATAAATAGCATATTATTATTGTAGTCGCGGGGAAATATACTTCCCCGTGTTAATGTAACATGGTATTGGGATAAAATTATAGCTTGTATTAAAATATCGAAGTCAAAATAATATCCAAATAATAAAAAAAATTTAAAATATCCTGTTTAAAAAGAGAATATTGGTAATAATGAAATTATTTATAGGTATAGTTCAATCACATTAAAAAAACATTTAATTTGTTGATAATTGCTTTATGAAAAATATAAAATTGTTATGTGAATTATTAATATATGTATGTTTAACTACTATAATTATCCATATCATATTATTGACAATCGTACTCGAATATATTATTATTATATCAAATTTACTACTATTTTTTATTTTTTTATTTAGATATTTTGACCCTTGGTTAGTTTAACCCTGGAATGTCTATATTCCAATTATTTAGGGAATGAATACAACTTTAATAAATACAATGGACATTCTCAACCTTCTTAAAATATTTTAATATACCTATTTGTAAAATATTATATTTAAATTATTTGTACTCACAAAAAATTTTAAGTCTGAATACTAGTATAATAACGTAATTATTTTCAGAACTTTACTGTCTGCGCAAATCAGCCAAACAACATCAGCTGGTTCCTTAATATATACATTTTTTTTATAAATGTTCTTTTTGAGTTCCCATTTATTTTATTTTTCTTCAATTCAATAGTACTGAGTAATAATATTATATGACAGAAGGCTTAAAAAATTATTTTTATTTAATTATACCAGTATCGTATAAACATTTTCACATTTTCCCAGGTTTATATTTATAAACCCTAATACGAGTGAATGATTATATCATACTTTTAGAGTCTAAGCAGTATAATTTATTGTATGATTCAAAATATGTATATGAGGCGTGAGAATTGCATTATGTTTGATACTATGTAGTGCTATAATAAAAAAACATATTAAATATAAAAACAAAGATAAGAACTATAGTATAAATATATTTTAATATAGTTACGGGATACAAATTATAAAGTACGTTCAGCATCTGAAATGGCTAGCAATAAAAATCTCTGCAATAATATTATTTAATACAATTTAATACAATGAAAAAGTGGATAGGTGGGTACAATTTTATAGGTTTGGTAGGTATATTATACGTAATTATTAGAGTTATAATGTATGTATTGGTATGTTTTTTAATGGTTCTTTTATACATTTGGTTATGTCCATGAACCACATCATACTGATGCAAAAGATATATTTGAAATATAATGCATATTATTGCTTTTTTAAAACTACAAGTATAAACACGGAAAACGTATGTTGTGTAGTATATTTAAACTAAAGTAATGTATGAGCTAGATTTCGGGTCATTCTAGTATTATTATATAATACTAGTTTCAATTTCATAAAATTGGAGATTTTATTTTTGACAAAACAAATTAAAATCTGTTAAAAATAATACAGGTTAATTTGAGTCTAAGACTAACAAAAAATGTTCAGCTTACATATTATAAATTAACTTTTGTTTTAAAATTGGAAGATATCTCCTTAACTTAATGATAGTTCAGAAATTATTTATATTTTATAATGATTTCATTGCGTATTTTACTCATTTATACAGCATATAAATCCTAAATTTAGTTATTATATTTATACGTATACGAAACTTAATTTTAAAAACACAACTTATACTTGATACTACAGGTAGTAATAATAATAACAATGATAATGTATTGGATATTCGCCTATTCCTAGTGTACCTATACATTTTGCTGGGAAACATTTTTTATATAGCCTAAACTGTTGTGTGGACCTAATGATAATTTTGATGATTTGTATCAAACCGGTTTTAAAGGAAAATATAGGTATGCGAATACGCAATATACTTTCAAATTTTACATTACGCAACGTAATCCATATGGAATACAATTTCCGGAAATAAATCGTAAAAATACACAAGGAAGTAAATTTAATATTATTATTTTCCTTATATATACTCGTACTTACAGTGTTTAAAACTTGAAAGCGAAATTTGTTACTACTTTCACTTAAAAAAATCAAGTGAAATCAAAAGTCTGAACGTTTTTTTAGAAAGCGACCATCTGTTACATCAATATAATGAATCATTTTATAACAAGTTCATTTTATGAGACAATATTTTACCTAGAAGTTTTCATTTACACTCTACGCCTACTATATCTTAATATATATATATATTTCTTCTGTCAGTGTGTAAGTATTCAAACTCCTTCTAAACAGCTGGACCGATTTTGATGAAATTTAATCAATATAATTCGCAAAT